TTTTATATATATTATATTTTATTTAATTTAATTTTTTTTTTGGTATATTTTAATAACAAATTTTCCGTAGGTGCAGAATGCAATTAATATTTAAAATAAAATATTCATTGTAATTTAATGTTTGGTTATTTATATATTTTTGTTAGGTAGAAAATACAAATATTTAAAATAAAAGATACAATTCATTCATATATGCAAAGCATCGCATGCTAACGAGAAATCATGCGTGCATTTATGCAAAAACACGAGCGTGGTTAAAGAAAAATCAAAATTTTTTGATTTTCGTCAACACATTTCTTAAAATTTCAAATGTTACTATTACACAAACAAATTTCGCATTTTACAAAGTAGGAGAAAAGTAAGAGAAAAAATTCTAATGTGAGAGCGATTTTTTAGTATATTTGTTGTCTTATCTGGGGCGTGTTTAAAAAATTGTTGAAAAATTGAGTGTGTAATTGCAAGCGCGCGTTGACAACGAGCGATGCTGTCTAAGGGGCCCTTTAGATGTGTATGGGTTTTTTTGTTTGTTACGATAATCTACAAAAACTGTTCAGTTTCTTTGTTATTTAATAAAGTAGAGTGTTTTAAGTGAAGGAATAACTAGAATGCACGTGATTAAATATGCCAGATAAAAGAAAAAATTCAAATATTATTGAGTTAGTACGTATAATGATATAAATATATTATTATATTGTATGGCAGGATTGCCATATAATGATAATATAATAAAATGTTTATTATATTATTTAAAATTTATATCCTGGATTGCTACGGGATCAGAATTCTTTACAAAGTTATTAAATTTCATCTTATTAGAATTAGCAGGAAGAAATCTGCTGATTAGTACGCATCCGAGAATGCCGAGACAAAAAAATAAAATAAAATGAGATTTTGTGTAAGCTCAATTTCAAATCTGAATTTTATTAACAATTTTCCAAACTATTTATACAAAATATTTTACTATAATTTACAAATATTTTTCCTAATAATTTTAATTGCGGCGGCACTAAAAACTTTGACCCACGTCAATGCTTAGAAAATATTATGACACATTCAAATGTGTCATATCGACATGTGCAGAATAGTAGCACAGAAAAGAAAAATGTCAAATAGCAATTGCATACTTGCTATGACCAAATATTCTACTTGCATTGCGGTGGTTCTTCCGTGTGCAATCGCATTACATATTACATTAGTTAATATAAAATAATTTGTGCATAAGCACTTTCAAAAATACATAAAATAATTTATTGTTTGTTTTTGTTTACATTGATTGCGCTATACACAACATATGTCATAATTACTACCTCGGTAAATCTGCTAAGGAATAAAGTCTTATGTTTAATATTAGGTTAAGAACAATTTATAATATCATAAACAGAGCAGAAAATGAGGATTGCATTAGTTTAAAATCAGCAGGCCACTGTATTAAACCATTGTCTGAACGCCATATAAGAAGAGTATTGCAAATTATTGATAAAAATCCTAGAATTTCCAATTCTAGCAATTTAATATTGCTGTTAGTCACGAGGAAATAAGAAAAGTGCTATTACAAACCATTTATTCTTCGAAAGTTGAAAAACGATTTCAGTTTGCAAGCACACATTTAAGATATGATTCAGAGTACAAAGATGATGTGATTTTCTGGGATTTTATGCTTTGTTATCATGTTTGTGTGGGTTCTGCATTATAATAAAGCTTGATTTCCACTTCGTCCCAGTATATTTCGAAGGTGGCACTGTTGAAGAGTGTCAAAAGTTTAGACCAAAAACCATACAAAATTGATTTTTTCGATTCCAAAACAAATAGTAGCTATTATTAAATAGAAGAGCTTGGCCACTAAATATTAATTGTTATCAAAATATTTTTTTTTAATTTGTTTTTTCATATTTACGTTAGCTGTGCCAATAATTTTGTTCAACCAAATTTAGATCTTTTTTTGGTTTTTTAATTTTAAAAATAATATATAAGAGAAAATAAAATGAAATAAAATGAATTTAAAAGCAAATTAAGCATCTTATCTAAAAAAATTTTTTGTTTATTAAAAATCGCATCATTAACAGGATAAAAATAGTGGTAAAGTTCAATTTGCTTGCTGTGTCCAAATTTTGTTCGTCACTGTAAGTATATACGTACATAACCCGATAACCAGTGTCCCGTGAACACCCTAAATGTGAATGTACTATTAAGGTGTTTTCGCGACCTTAAAATAGATTTTAAGAGCCTTAATAAAACAACTTTTAAGGCTCCCGGAATCAGAGCAATTGACAATTACGCAAACGAATTACGATCAAAGTTAGCATACTTGACTGAAAGATTAAATCAATTAATAAACAAATTTAAGAAGTATAAATTTAAAACACAATATAGTAATTCGCTGAAAAAAAATAAAATAAATATTTTAAAGAAAATATTATATATTAAAATATTTTAAAGAAAGAAAACTGAAAGAAAAACCAAAACCTATATTAATGATTTTTTAAAGTTGCACCAAGAAAATGAGGCAATACAATCATAGAAGTGCAAGATAGGCACAAAGAAGGCTACAATAGACAAATTATATTATATTAAGTATGTTTTATTAAGTATGTAAAAACAATATCAAATAACAAAACAAAATGTGTTATAATAAATAAATTATAACATTGTAAAGTTAAAATAATCATGGTAAATAAAATAAGTAATATCATAACATATAACCTTTAATGGATTGTTTTGTATTTCTAAATTTATTATTATTAAGTTAAAAATAAATTCGTCAGCCATTTGCTTAATGCATTAAAAACTGATAACAGCTTCTACTGCTATGTCATATCAGTATGTTATCAAGTCTCTAAAATAAGATTACTATAGCGGTTGATATACAACAAATTGTAAGAGTAATTATTTGTAATAATAAGAAAATAAATCATAAGTCTTAGTAAAACGAATAAAATAAGAATTATTTAATACTTATGAAAATATATAGGGTAATAGCATTGACAGACGAAAGCTAAGTTATCATTAAAAGGCTAAATTATAATTTATTTGCTCATTTAGCAGCTTTAAATGATCATTTATGGTCTTTAAATGACTGAATTTAGCCCAATTTATTTCTCATTTAGGTTTTTAAAAATGGTAATCCTTCAAGCGGTTTTTTGGTTGTCAAAGTGTAAACAATACAGATTTGCGAACAATATTCTTCTTGCTATGCATTTAGTTTTTATAAGAAAACGTATATATATAACTTCATGCTTTTTTATTAGTTTCAATAACATTTTTAGTTTTAAATTAACGGCGTCTTTTTAACCAAATTAAAGCGAGTTTCTTTAATTTTTCTTGCTTATCAATTTTGAATTTAAAATTCTCTCTTTTTCAATAACAAAAACATATGATACAGCAACTTCTTAATGATAATTTACACCGTCTGTCATGGTATTTTTAAAATGATCATTTAAGGCTGCTTAATGACAATTAAGCGCGCTCGTCTGTCAATGCTATAACATAACTTTAAAATCAAAATTCTTTCCATTATGTGTTGCACATAATTGTAATTATTTTTCTTTTTCAATTCCTATGAATAATAACATATTAGGACTGTTTTACGAGCTACTCGTAATAACTTCGGGTAACACTGTGTATACACAAGTGCGTTCCACATCAAATTTTCGAGTAAATGAGAGCATTTGAGAGAGTGTAACATATCTGTCGAAATTTTAAAATGCTACTCAGACCTTAGTCGTACATTTTATTTGAAGTAAAATTTGTATGATGTGTGAATCAGCTTATTTGGTTTGAATTTAAATTTATTGTCACCAGATTTTACACAAAGTTGTTCCATGAAAATCTGTGTAAAGAGCGTAATTTGTAATATTATTTGTGTTACGATCTTAGTTTGTACTTGATTTGTGTTTTACTTTAGTTCTACTAGGAGTAGCTCTTGGAACAGACCTATTATAAAACGCGTTTCTATTAAAAATACATTATGTATATGGTAAACAAACACAGCATTGAATATTAACTAATATAGCCTGGCATATGTCATCAATTTATGTGGAAAAAATTTATGGTAAATTATTTTCCTTTTAAATTCAAGCAATTATAGATTTATATGTCTATGTTATTCATGTTTCATTTTGTGAACGTAATAATATATTTTTGTAAACAACGGAACCTAATAGTATGTTTCCACTACGTACTTAGTAAGCTTCATGTACTGAGTAAATTGCATTAACCATACAAAGTGCTTCCGTGCTTTTTCATTTACTGTAGAATATAGTAAACAAAATTCGACGAAAATTACACTAAATTATTATGCCAAATTATGTCAAATTATTAATTTGACACATGAAACAAAATGTAAACATAAACAAGCAATCAAAATTCAAAACAAACAACAGGTAAGAATTTTTTTTAAACATTTGTTTTTTTATAAATAAAATATATAATTAATACATAAAAATATAAAAATAAGTTAAATTATATTATATATATATTTAATATAATTATAAAATGTCATATATTATTTAATAAAAATTATTTATTTCAGGTTAATATCAGGAAAGCAATAATTGAGATCTCACAAGTTTGATTTATAAATTTGAAATTGTGTTTAATGTAAAACAAAAAAATATTACCTGGAATGCTTGTGGAACCGTGGAACTATGGGAGGAAAATCTTCTTCGATGAAAAAGGTGAAACAGGTTTAATGGTAACCGCGTCCGAAGTGCAAACGATAATACACTTCACCCAACATTTTCAGTGAGTGTTCAATAAGTGAAATTTCTATCATATCATTACATTTTTGTAATTAAAACCACATAATCTTTTACGATTATTATTAGATGTCTTATTTAATAGTTATTGTTATGTTAACTACTTTTCTCTTTTATTTTAAAACAGAAAGAATCCGTAATGTATTGTGGTTTTCAACGGAGGCTCCGTTATCGTGGAAGTTTGTCAATAACGTGTATAGAATTTTGGAGAATTTGCCTATTGACAACACCTTTGTATTAATTTCTGATAGTCATCCTCACCGTGACTGTCAGCGTCGTCAACATATCGTCAACATCTTTGAAGTCAAAAAAGAACACACCTACAAAGAAAAGACAAATCAATGATAACTGACTATTTTTTTTATTTTTATTTGTAATAAATTATAAATTATTAAAATTATAAATGTAATAATATAAATTTTATAATTATATAAAATCTAATTATATGAAAAATACATAAGTATATATTTTTTGTTGTTTTTATTTTTAATTTATAAGTTATTAGTGTTATTATTAGCTATTAATTAAAATAAAACTTACTGAAGATTTGTTTCAAACATCGCCTTATTTGTTTTCTATTTGATTTGTGGTTATTTAGTGTTCAAACTTATTTTGAAGCCCTCTGTTGTCTTCTCAGAACCAACATACGGATTTCATTTTTATCTAAAATAGCAACTCAGTAAAATTTTATTCTTTATTTAATAATATTTACTGCTCGTATTTACCAGAAGTCCAGCACTTTCTTTGGTTTCTAGTTATCATTGAAGATGTTTTGATTTTGAAAAATTTGTAATTTCTTGTATATGCAGCAATTGCCGCTTTTATATTATGAAAAACATTATAAACATTACATATTAAATTATTTAAATTTTCTGTCTTTTCTTTTATGCTGCACAACATTTAGTATAATCTGTTTACAATTAAAATGTAAACACAGAAAAGCTCTAAAACGAAAACTTTTTGACACATAAAAGCTCTTTTCCATTCCCTAAGTAACTCATGATAATGTAAACGCAAAAAGCTCTATGTTACTATATGACTTACTAAGTACCTAGTGGATACGTAGTATAAGCAAAAGAACAAAATTGGACGTTTCATTAATTATCATCAATCAAAATGGCCAGTTTGAACACCCATTATGGTTAATTGAAGTTTTTCTATTTATTGAATTCTTGTTTAAGCAGACTACAATACTAATGGCGTTGAAGATTGATAAAACTGAATTCAATCTAAGTTTACTCTCGATCTGTCAAATTTTGTTGCTCAATCGAATATTTTTGGTGTAATCTATATTTTTCACATATACATATATCAAATCAAATCACAGTTTATCTATTAAATCATATAAAACAGCTGTTAATTTCAGGGTAATCTTTGTACTCTCGCAAAAAATCTAGTATGTTATGAATTAATTTTAAGTGTTATACATTTTACCCCACATTTACCAATCGAAAATGAAATTGCACTAAAAAAATTACCCCAGATTTACCAATGAAAATGAAATTGCACTAAAAGTGCATTAAAAGAGCATCTCGATTGAAAAAATTATTCCAGATTTACGAAAACGACATAATCTTTAATAAAATTTAGTACGGCGTAAAAAGTGCACTTATTGTGTCAAACTTGAACTATTAAAATATTGTGTTAGGTTATATACACAAAACAAGAATTAGACAAGGCTTACATATTAGCTGCAGTTTTAGTGCTAAATAGCTTAACAATATATAGAAAAAATTGTGAATTTGTGGAAACAATTTCTTTCGTTTTAATAAACATTAGATATATGCAAGTCGTATTTAACTCAGATTACTGAATTCTGTTCTGGAATGGATATCTTTCGTTTTATGTACTCGTCATACCTTTTAATTGTAGTACCCATTTGTTTCTACACAAAGGTGGAATCGTGCAATGAAGTTGTTTGCGCTTCGATCGTGTCTAAATGTATGTTAACGCAGAGTTGCAAATGTGAACCCAAACATTGTTCTTGCTGTAAGGATTGTTTGAAATGTTTAGGTAAAAAATATTATGAAGAATGCTGTAGTTGTGTTGGTAAGAAACAGACATTTTTACTAAAAATCTTAAAATTTTAATTATAATTCTTTGGTACTTAAGTAAGTAAGTAACACATGCAGGTTGAAAGTGTCTTTAAATGTTTATATGAATTTTTAATATATAGATATAATTATTTTTTTATTTAAGACTTGTGCCCTAAACCTAATGACACTAGAAGCGCTATTTCTAGAAAATCTCATGTTGAAGATTTTGATGGCGTGCCCGAATTATTTAATGTATTAACTTCATCAGATGATGATTACGAATGGGAAATCTTCACATTTCAAATCGACTTTGATACGTTATTGTCCAGAGCTAAGTTAGAAAGGGATGTCAAATATTATTTAAGTAAAATATGAAACAATATTTTATTAACTAAATTGTTATACGCAAATGTTTCAGGATCAAATGAGAAAAATGAGGGGGAAATGTTAAAAGAAAGAGATGATATTGTCACTGTTAACTGCACAGTAATTTATTATGATCAGTGCACATCATGGAACAAGTGTAAAAAATCATGCCAATCAACTGGAGCTAGTAGTTACAGGTAATTTGAATAAATAAATTAGATATGTATGTGAATGGTTATGAGATATACACGACATTATTTAACTTATAATCATCAATTTAAAAAAATCAAACAAAAACAACATAAAAATTTATTATTTTTACAATAAATAATTGAGTTTTTGTCTAATCTGACGGCTGTTTCAAGTATTGCCAAATACTTAACATCAATCTTTAGAAATAACTTATTTGGTTTTTTAGTCCGTATACAATTCTATACTCTGCAAATGCCAAATTAAAAACTTAGAGCCAGTGGAAATTTTGAGCTTATGACACTAATTTATTATATAAGAATGCCAAAACTACATATTACAAGTAAACGTACAAAATTGCTTGCCTTTTTCTGATAAGCGTGAGACTGTAATCTAAAGCATTCGTAAATCTGGAGTTTCAAGTGAAACTACGTTGTCACCTGCTCTACAGAGCGTTATACGAATAATTTTAAATCGCATTCGAAAGGATTTTATATCTCTTACAAGGCTTGTCGGGCGTTCTGTCGTAAATAAATTTCGTTTTTGTAGCACACTTCAAAACTTTTTGTTCAAATGAGTATTAGGAGGTCGAATTTTGTACATTTGGTCGTTTTAGCTTCTTTGTCTAAAATTTTATTATTATCGTTAAAATATATATTGCTTCGAATTTGGTCAAGACGATTTCTCGACATTGCAGTTTGATTAGCTAGAAACCCATATTCGTTCCAATTTTATTGTATTTTCGAGTACCTATAAACAGACATAAAAATAAAATTTCAAAATAATTCCATTATTTCTGTAGTAGTTACTGAAAAAGGTGGTGAAATTTCAAATGGTAAATTGAAAATTAAAAACACATTCATATTTGGTGTATTGTATACCAAAAATATAATAGGATTTGCAATGATTAAAAACACATTCATTTCATTTTGTAGATAATACGTACAATATTTAAAAATTAAACTAATAAATGTAGTATAGTTATACAAAAATTAAAACTTATTATTACTATATTTAAAAACTTAAAACTTTTCTTTCATTCAACTTTTTTTACAAAGTGTTCAAAGACTACGAATATTCGAATAGTAAACGAACTCTTCGAAGTTGGAAATAAATCAGGATTTTTTGTAAATTCGAAGATTTTTAATTTATTTGCAGTGAAATCTTTCGAAGACTTCGTGAGCAAAAGTTAAAGTGAGAGCACAATATGCAAACAAACGTGCATCACACAAGTTGTTTGTGGGATGATTGAATTTACTTTATTTGTACGATTTTTTGTTTCTTTTTTGTTATTTTATGCAGAAATTTATATGTGTGTTGTTTGTAATCTTTTTTTATTTTATTTTATTACATATATTAAATAAAAGATTTACATTTTAAATAACTTATATTTATAATTTATATTAAGTTAATGAAAATTTTAAATATAATAAAACAAACACATGTGAGAATTTGATAATATTAATATTTATGCATTTATAAAAATATTATTTTTATTTTTTTATTAGTAATAGAAATTTAAATTTCTTTTGTACAATTTTACTTACACTTAATTTACATTTTATACTTATACTTATATAAGGATTTTAAAATTTTTCACAAATAATAAATCGTACTAACAACAGCGATTTCAACAAAAATTAAAATTTTATTGTACAAAAATAAATTTGCGCCTACCTGCGTGATCATCACAGGTCAAATAATTATACGTTAAGGAGTATAACACATTTTTAGATAACTAATTTTCAATGTTTTAATTTGTGAATTGTTTTTTTTAAAAAGGAAAACTTTTATAAAATTTTCATTATTAATAAAATCCATAAATATTAATATTATCAAATTCCTACATACGTATGTATTTGATATTATATTTAAAATTTTCGTTAATATAATTTTTTTAAAATAAATTATAAATGTAAGTTATTTAAAATGTAAATTTTTTATTTAATAATATGTAATAAAATAAAATAAAAAAAATATTACAAACACGCATATAAACTTCTGCATAAAATACCAAAAAAGAAACAAAATATCGTACAAATAAAGTAAATTCAATCATCCCACAAACAACTTGTGTGATGCACGTTTGTTTGCATATTGTACTCTCACTTTAACTTTTGCTCACGAAGTCTTCCAAGAATTTCACTACGAATAAATTCAAAGATTTTGAATTTACAAAAAATCCTGATTTATTTCCAACTTCTTCCCATTCATCAATTCGCCGTCCATCTTGCGTGATGTTTAGCTTCATAAAGATCGAAACTTTATGCTGCAGTGCGGCTTTTCTCCTTAAAATGAAGGAACGCTTTTATTTGTTTCTTGGCAAAACTTTTCAATTATGCATTTGCAAGCAGCTCGGATTAATACCATATAAGGGCCATGTTAGGGCCATGTTATGCAGAGTGTCTCGGGCACGGCATGAGTACAATTGTTGTTGTTTTCAATGCAAATTTTAAATTTGAGAATGAGAGAAAAAACAATATGGCCGTTCAAACTCCGGCATGAGAGCCGGCGTATTTGTGCCCCGGCACTGAGGCAAAACAGTGTTGTTTAGTAATAAATTTCAAAATTTGCGCCTTTTAGGAGCAAACTACTACAATTCTAGTACGTTTTGGAGAAAAAATGGGAGTAAGCAACACAGCATTTTTTTTATAAATCGCTAATAATATAAATATTACACTTTCCGATTTTAAAGAAACGCGTAAATACTGTTAACAATTATTATAAGATAATATAATAATAAATTAACATTATTACAGCCTCTATGAGTTTTTTCATGCGAGTTATTTTTGGTGGCAAATTGAAAGTGAGCATATCTAAATTTCCTTTTAAATTTAGGCACAACCGAGAAGTAGTAAAAATACAAAATTGGCAATACTGATGTGACACTCTGCATAACATGCATTTTCGGCATAGCCCGAAAGAGCGTAATTTGCCGTGCCCGAGACACTCTGCATAACATGGCCCTTATGCAGAGTGTCTCGGGCACGGCATGAGTACAATTGTTGTTGTTTTCAATGCAAATTTTAAATTTGAGAATGAGAGAAAAAAAAATATGGCCGTTCAAACTCCGGCATGAGAGCCGGCGTATTTGTGCCCCGGCACTAAGGCAAAACAGTGTTGTTTAGTAATAAATTTCAAAATTTGAGCCTTTAAGGAGCAAACTACTACAATTCTAGTACGTTTTGGAGAAAAAATGGCAGTAAGCAACACAGCATTTTTTTTATAAATCGCTAATAAGATAATTATTACACTTTCCGATTTTAAAGAAAGGCGTAAGTACTGTTAACAATTATTATAAGATAATATAATAATAAATTAACATTATTACAGCATCTATGAGTTTTTTCATGCGAGCTATTTTTGGTGGCAAATTAAAAGTGAGCATATCTAAATTTTCTTTTAAATTTAGGCACAACCAAGAAGTAGTAAAAATACAAAATTGGCAATACTGATGTGACACTCTGCATAACATGCATTTTCGGCATAGCCCGAAAGAGCGTAATTTGCCGTGCCCGAGACACTCTGCATAACATGGCCCTAAGAAAATGTTTTAACAACATTAATCTGTGTTCATAACATGAATGTTCTGAATTGTACCAATATGGATCATCAAGAATACAAAAATTTATTATCAACAGTAAGATTCCTTTCTTGTAACAGTTGCTATCAAACTGTTTGTAAAAAGTTTTTAGGTGCTGCTTACACAATTAGTAGAAAAAATTTGAAGAAGAAGAAAGCGAGCAAGAATTCCATCACTTCCATAATTTCTGAAGTATAGAAGTCAATCAGAAGGCGCATTAATTACATTATCCGATTTGATAAAATTTTTTCTGCTATTTTCGCTATTTTTCAGCGTAGTTTTTCTAAAAAACTTATGCAAAATATATCCTGCAAAATATTTAATTGCATTATCAGAAAGTACAGGCAACAAACCATCTTCGGAATTCATTTCTATAATTGAATTTATTTCTTCCGAACCATTTTCGTTATCTGCTTCATCCTCAATCTCTTCTTCATTGAAAGTTCCAACATTCGCTTCCCTCGAATTTTTATGGCCCACAGATATTGTAGTCCAATCTCTGCCAAGCATTTCATCATCATCTTCGTCACAATTAGAGTATTTGGAACCATATATTAAATTAACAGCAATTATTCTTCCAATATTAAAGTAGAATTCATTAACTGATGGATTTTTCTCTTTGTACCTCAGCCGACTAAACAAATTTTCAATGAAGTCCTGATTCAATTTATTAGTGCATAAATAAGACTAATCTTTAAATTCATTAAATATATCGTCAGAGAGATTTAAAGCTGCATTTATGCTTTGAATTAAAGAATTTAAGCAATTTTTACGAGGAGTGTTGATAAATTTTAAATTTTCAATATAATTCTTTGCGTCTTGTAAAAATTTATACACTGCACATTCTTTTTGTAAGGCCTTTCGGTAGGAGTTGGCAGAATGCAATGATTTACTATTTAAGCAATCAAATATTTTATTGAATTTATCAAAAATATATGCAGTTCCATGATGCAGTTCTGCGTCAGAGGTCAAATTATTTTTATTAAATAAATTCAATTCTATGCCAGTGTGAATTCCCTCAACTGTTCTTGCGCTGAGCACTTGAACAGCTAAGTTCACCTTCATTTTTTGGAATCTGTTCGGGGTAATATGCTTAGACCTTAGTCTTGGAATAGATGGCTACGAGTCAATTCGGTACAGCCCTCTCAAAACATCCCAATTGGCACAATTGTTACCACCATCTTTAAACGATATTTCAATAAATTATTACGAATCGATTTAAATATGTGAGGGATATCAAAGAAACAAAATATTTTTTTTGTCATTCCCAGTTTCAAAAATAAAGAAGGGATTATTTTTAGAAATATCGAGTTTTCTATAAAGGGCTTGTTTTGTTGGGCTTTGGTAACAAACTAATCCTCTCACATTTAGTCCAGCAGATAGGCAACCTTCAATATTTTTATATATCATTATTTTCAATGTGACATTT